TTCTGATGAGGGTGAATGAACAGCGGGAGAAAGTGAAGGCTGAGGTGAGAGATTTGGGGCAAAGTCTTTGGGACAGTGAAGTTTACATTATAGAAAAAGAGATAATGTTTTGCGTTTGTGTGGGTTGGGGAGAGTTTAACCTGATAGAAAAGGAGGACTAATTTGTTGAGCACAATCAGAGAAAATAAGAACAAAATTCACTAGGGTTGGGGGAGTCTTCTGGCTTGGAAAATGTGTGGAGGGAAAGCCTTCTTTAATATTCCTATTGTTGTGAAAAAAATATTGTCACAAGAGAACTACGAAAAGCGTCAGAATTATAATAATGAAAAAGGGTTAGATCAGTGTGCTGGCCCTACTCCCACCCCTGGGTCACACTGAGAGGCGATTGAGACTGGGCATGGTGGCATGCCTGTAATCACAGCGCTTGGAAGGCTGAAAACAGAAGGATCACTGAGTCCAATCTGTGGAGTGAGACCGTGTAGATCCTGTATTAAAGACAAATGAAACAGTGAGCTCTGAGACCATTCTTCTTTCACTGATTAAAATTAGTGTACAAGTTATTAGAGATAATACTAATTATTCAGTGTTCTGAGCTTTCTGGTGACTTTGCTAGGTCCAATATCCTTCTTTCCACCACTTTGATGACACCCACAGCAATTATCTGTCTCCTATCATGAATAGCAAAATGACCCAAAGGAAGATAGAGATGCTCTCAACATATCTGGCTTGCCTATATCCCCTATCAATGATGGCAACTTTATTAGATTTCAGAAATTTAAGGCTGTCTTGTAGCTTCTTTCCAAAACAGTGATCTTATCTTTTAGCTCAGCAAACTTGAAAGTATTATATGCTGTGTGACAATTTACTATAGGAGTACACCTGGCATTGATTTGTTCTAGACGGCTCATGGTAATCAACTGAGCAGTGAAGTCAGCTGCTTCTGTTGGTGGGTTATTTTTGCTGTCATCAGCAGTGCTACCATGTTTTGACAGACATCTTTTCCAGTAGGAGATTCACTCAAAGCTTCATAGTGCATTTACACAGACATCAGTTGTGACATTGATTAAATCAAAGCCGACTGCCATGCTGGGTTCGAGTTCATCATTTTCTGCTGGGGCCATAGGGATTGTGCCAGTGCTTTGAATTTTATAGATGTCCTAAGGGCACATGTGCAAAGGCTTGTCAGTTTTATGAGTTAGTGGTAGAATATAATCCATTGCATCAAGTAGTGGGGTTCCACTGGCACACCATCTTTGTGGGTTCTGAACCAAAAGGCATGTTAGTACTTGGCTCAGTGTGTTATCACCATTCTTATCATAATTGGCATAAAGGCTACTGTATAGGGATTGCATTCAACTTGACCAATGTAAATGCAGACTTTCATAACTATTTCCTTGTATATTTTCTGGCTATTGGGTGGCTCAGTGAAATTAATTTTGTTGATGCAATAGTTACTTGTTTTATACCCAGTGTGTAAATCTTATAGGGCTACCTTTTCTTAGAGATAACCAGTTTCAAGTTTACCAATACTAGTAACAACAAGCATAGTTAGGCTGAGATGTGTACCTATTATCATGTTTTTGATAAAGTCCTGGAACATGACAGCCATATAGTACTTGCTAGTCTCAAATTTCTGCAAAGTGAGTCTGAAATCAACCTTGGTTCCTTGCTGTTCTTGCTATTAGAATTACTTTTGCACCTGGCAGCAATGTATAGCAAGAGGCAATACACTAGTTTACATCTTAATTCCCTATTTTAAAGCTTGTGGTTTAGTGGCTTTTCTTCTACATCTCTAACAGAGATAACAGATGTTTCTGAATTCAATATAAAATTGGCTAAAAAAAAGTGGACATGTGTGTCTCTGAAAAAACCTGTTTTTCCTTTTGTTCTGAAAGAGTAGATTTCAGTGATCCATTGATTCAGTGATTAAACAGATTGCAATTTAAGTTTTTGTTTCGATTACTGTTCTCTCGTTGCTGGGACAAAATACTCAACACCCCAAATAAAGAAATGAAAGGTTTTGTTAGTTCATAGTCAGTGTAGGTTTCAGTCCGTACTCAGCTGATTCCAAGGCAGAGTGGCACATGGCAGAAGAACAGCCATTCATGATGGAGGTAAAGAGCAAGAGAGCAAAGACAGTGGCAGCAACTCAGGCAGCTAGCTAGCCTCTCTTCTCCTGACATTGTAATGCAGACTATCTGCCCCAGGGCACTCGTACCCATAATCCCATCATTGAATCAAGAATCAGTCACAGGGCTGGTGAGATGGCTCAGTGGTCTAAAGCACCTACTTAGAACAAGCTAAGCAAAACACAGGGACCACGGTTCAATCCCCCAGCACCACATGCCAGCCAGCCCCGCCCCCTGGTGGGCTGAACTGGCCACACACACACACACACACACACACACAAATAAATAAATCGTTTAAAAAAAAAAAAAAAAAAGAATCAGTCACAACTCCAGAAGCTGCCCCATGAGTATGTGAGGCTTTTGGGTGTAAGTGGACACAAACCATTACAATTTTGTTAGAGCCATCTTGTTTTAGTGTATTTGTGCAGAATTTGCGCAGACAGATCCTAGAAGGGTGAAATTAGCATTTTTAGGGGTGGGGATTAAATCCAGGCCTCCTCATGGAGCTACATCCCCAGCCTTTTGTTATGTTTTTTATTTTTAGATTGGATCTTGCTCAGTTGCCCAGGTGAGGCTCAAACTTGTAATATTTCTGCCTCAGCAGCTTGTGCCACCCCACCAGGTTGAAACTAGATTTTGAATTAAGTTTTTAAGAGAGACCATATGTACAAAGCTAACATACATAGGAATGAAATTTCTTAATGATTATGACTATACATTTTTAAAGTTTTGAAAGTTTTGTTACTTTTGTAGTTTAATAATGTATTTGCTGTATACTAAAAACACAGCTTAGCTTTGAAATCTCTTTCTATAAAAAGAAATTCTAGTAGAAAGTGATATCTACAGAGATAAGATATAACTTGAAGTAAGGCATAGGTTTTTAAAAGAGAACAGTATAATAATTCATATGAGAATGCCAATTGCTCTGGATATGTCTTTGATTATAGATTAAGTTCTGTAGATTACAATTTATTTTGTAGGTGTTTTGCCACTACCAGGTCAAATAAGCAGACTGGGGAGTTTCGAAAATCAGGGAAGTAAGAGTTGACCCTTAAGCTGCCTGCTTTTCTTAGAAGCCTGCAGCTGGTATATTAGGCAAAACTAATTTCTGTCTCCTACATGCTTCCTTCCATGTAAATGTTTGTATTTGCCTTCCTTGGCTTTGGTTTAGAGTTCCTTTAGGCCAGAGATGTCATACCATTCTTGTATTTCCAGCACCTAACATAATTGCTTACACATAGTAGATCCTTTAAAAACAGTGGCCAAGTCAATACTTATTGAGCACAAGTAGGACAACATGGAAAGAATCAGATACTGTAGTTATCATGGGATAATCTGAATCAGAGTTAAGATGTGGCTGAGGGTAGAGGAAACCACTACAAAATACAAATCAGAAAGAAGATACAGTATTTAAGTTTCTGTGATGTATCGAGTTAATTTTTTTATCTCATTTCCTTGCTATTCTGACCCATGGCCTAAAATTCATTTGCTTATTAGTAGACAGTACAGCATAAAAATTATGGGGTGACGGAAGCATGGAATCTTTATAGAACGTAGTAAGCCACAATAGAGGTATGGGTGTATACCAATGGTGGTGACTCAATGGCACACATGTTGCAGCAGACTGTTTGTATCATTAACAGCTCCAAAAGAGTTGCCTTCATGTATATATGCTGTCACTGGATGAAAGAGAGGAAGAGGGAAGTCTTTATAGAATGTGATATTTTATCTGAATTTGAGAGAAGGGAGAACATATCTTCAAAGCACATAATCTGTGAAGAGAGGCTTATAGCAGAACTTGGTAGAGTCCAGGTGTGGAGAGAGATGGTATACATCTGGTTCATGTAGAACTCATTCTGGGAAATAAGATGGAGAGTAGATTGTGAGGAATCTTGTTTCTGTTTTTGTCTTTCTTCTTCCTCTTTTTGTACTATTCCAGGGAACCTTTGCTGTAACCATAAGTCTTTCACTGGCTCCCCAGTGTAAAGAATAGACTGTTAAGTGGCATCATCAGACCTTTGTTTTGTAAATTTTAAAGCTATGTAAAATTGAATCATAAGACAGATTCTTAGCAAGATGTATGGAGACAGGTAGATGGATTGGAGGCAGTTGTAGTAGCCCAGGCAAGAGATAAAATGTTCCTATTGCATGAATCCAATTAGTGTATATGAAATGTCCATATTAGGCAAATTCATAGACATATAAAATGGATTGATTAGTGGTTGCCAGAAGCATGGAGGGAAGGTGTAATAAAAAGTGGCTAATAAAAAATGCAAGGTTTCTTTTAAAGCTTTAAGTATTGGTGATGGTTATACATAATTGTGAATATACTACTACCAACTACTTAATTTTATACTTTAATTAGTGGATTTGATGATATGTAAATTATATCTCAATTTAAGTAAAGGGGAGGTAGGGCAGAGGAAGGGAAGAAAGAATGGGACAGAGACAGAGGGAGTGAGAAGCTGTAGCAAACAGTTTGACATACTCAGTGGTAGAGAATTCTGTCAGTTATGTTACTTGGATACTGAATATTGCTAATAATCACAATAAAACTGCAATTGTTTGATTAAATTGATAATGGGGAAATGCTGATAAAAATAAGTTTGGAGAGATTTGTTATGTACTATGTGAAGTATGTTAAATGTGTAATCAAGGCAAGCAGGTAAGGGTAATGGCTCAGACTTGAAGAGAGGTTTAGGGAAAGAAGCATTATGTAGAGGTTGGTTGAAGAAATCAGTGGTGACTTGTTGGTACATATCTTGTCTCCTCAGCCCTTTTGGAAGGTAAAGTCTTATTTATTTTTTATCTTCAAATCTGGTGTACAGATTGTTTTTGTTTTGTAAAGTTGAATCTTATATTACTTTTCAGGCCGAGGCAAGGCTTGCAGCAAAACGTGCCGCGCGGGCAGAAGCAAGAGACATACGCATGAGAGAACTGGAACGACAACAAAAAGAGGTAATTTAGGAAGAATAATCTTAATTTCTCACTCATTCCACCAAAAAATTAGTACTTGGTTAGTTTAATTCTAATGTGAATCTGGTTCCATTTTTAACACTCGGCTATTCTAAACTGATATATTTTAACAGATCACTTTATGTCAGCAAAATAAATGCAATACTTGTTTTAAATAAATATAGGGCCAGCCAGATACCTCTGCAGATTAAAGCACCTGCTTAGGCAGGCACAGGGACTGGGGATTGATTCTGTGCATGCTGTGCCGGGCCTGTCCCCTCAGTGTGCTGAGATGGGGATTAAGACCGGGCATGGTGGCATGCACCTGTAATCCCAGCACTTAGGAGGCTGAGAACAGGAGGATCACTATGAGTCCTGTCTGTGTAGTGAGACCCTGTGGACCCTGTACTAAATACATTTTTAAAAAATTAACAAACATATAACTATTACTAGATACATCATTATTAGTTATGGTATTGTGAACACTTTTTCTTTTCTTTTTTTTTTTTTTGGTGCTAGGGATTGAACATGGGCTTGTGCTTGCCAGGTGGGCACTTCTGTTATCTACCTGCTTCTTAAATGCTGTTCTTTCATTAGCTAAAGTAGCTTTAGAGATGACATTTATTTAGTGTAGACCTACATGTCTTGGAATTTGAGTTATGATGCCTGTGACACACTGTGAGCTTATTCAATCTTGTTTTTGAAACATATTTATTCATGTAAGAAGCTTTTAAAAAATCAAAACTGTAAAATTGATAGGGCTCCACCTTTGTGTTACAAAAATCATTATCCATCTGTGAGATCAAAAAGTACTAAAAAAAGTGATTGCCATCAAATACTTGAATTTGACTGTGTGAAGTTATAGTTGATTTTATATTTTTCTTATGCTTTTTAGTAGTTTACAGCTGTTCAGTATAATATTATATTCAGAAAAACAAAGCAGGGGCTGGTGAGATGGCTCAGTGGTCTAAAGCACCTACTTAGAACAAGCTTAGCAAAGCACAGGGACCACGGTTCAATCCCCCAGCACCACATGCCAGCCAGCCCTGCCCTCTGGTGGGCTGAGCTGGCTACTGCCCACTGGTGGGCTGAGCTGGCCATACACACACACACACACACACACACACACACACACACACACAAAAAAAAAAAAAAAAAAAAAAAAAAGAAAAACAAAGCAGAAAAATCAGTATGCAGAGTCCTCAAAAAACTAAAACTAGAAATCCCATTTGAGCCAGCCACGCCCCTTCTTCTTCTAGATATCTTCACGAAAAAGTTAGATGCCATAGTACAGTAGTACATACATAATAATGTTTATAGCAGCCAAATTCACAATTGAAAGATTATGAAATACTGATTTTACCCTTCTGATGTTGACTGGACCCTAAATATTCCCATAAAGATAGTCTTGATATCATATTAGTACAAAGGAAGAAACACCTGTGGGACAGTATTAAGCACTAATACTGGATACATTTCTTGGTCATAAATGTAAGTATTACAATATTTTTTTATACTCCTAAGATTATAGTAAGTAATAAGTAGATTATTAGTAAATGCAAATTCTGTTTATAGTTCTCTAAACTGCAAAGAATCTTGTATCCTTTTATTATTGAACATATTTAATCTAGTAATTTCCTATGTTTTAAATGTCTTAAGTCAACTATCATTGTTCTTTGGAGAAAGAACATGTAATTGATTTAAGAATTTTTGGAGAATGCAGTATGTTGAAAACTAGTTTATGAAACTTTTGCATTTATAGCACTCTCGTCATTCCTTTGATCGGAAATGGGGACAAATTCACAAGTGGCTGGTAGGCCCGAATTGCCTGTCCTGCATGTTGTGGTAGCTTGTAGAAATAATGCAATCTTGAAGTAAAACATTGACTAATAGTTTGCAGTCTTAAGAGTGTTTGGCCTTTGTGAACCTAAGGGTCAGATAATATGTATTCTGTTTGTAGTGGACCAAATCTGTACTTAGAGCCTGTTGTTTTCTGTTGTGGTCAATAGCCTTGCTTTCATCACATGAATGCCTCTACTCAAGAATGATTGCATAAACAAATGTTTTTTTCTTTTTATGGGTTTGTTTCTTTCTCTCTCAAATTCCTCCTTCTCCCTTCTCCTTTAAAAAACTAAGTTCATAGGGTCTTCATTGAGACAGAACTCAGATCATTCTTCTGTGCCCTCTGAAAATTACTTGTAGTACTGAGATCCTTTTCAAGTCCTTTGTCACCACTCTCAAATTTGTTACAATAGCAAATTGTAAACCATTATAGAACGTTAATTATAGTGAATGGCTCCTACATTTACAATTTTTTTCCAGGTTGGTAAGTTCATCAACTGTCTCCTTTTGTAGGAGCTCTTGGTACATGATTAAGCTTAGGGGGTAGATTATGAAGCTTGAAAGTTTCATGCAAACTTTTGAATGAATTGTGGTTTTATAGAAAATGCTCACAAGTATTTTTTATTAGATTCTTAAGTCTTGTGATTTATAAATGGTTAATCACTTCTGTGTAATTGCTGATAAGCAACTTTCATAAGAAATCCTTTCTGTAGTATCATTTTAGGATGTGGCCATAATTAAAATATTTAAGACTATGATGGCTTTAAAGTCATCATTATTCTCCTTTTGATACCATTTTAGAAAAAACACTTTGCAATTTAAGATTAAATGATTCCTTATGTATGTATTTGCAAAGTTCCTATAGAAATATTTAATTGTGTATTTCTAAAATGAAAATGCCTAAAATATTGTCTAGGTCTTAGGACAGACCAGAAAAATATTTAAAAAGTGTTTATTAAAAGTCTTAATATTTAATTTTTGTGTTCAAAAGCCATTGTCTTAGTTGCTTGTCTAGTTGCTGAGACAAAATACTCAACATGCAAAGTTAAAGGACAAAGATTTATTGTAGCTCACAGTTTATAGAGGTATTAGCTCACACTTGGTTAGCTCCAAGGCAGGGTGGCATGAGAGAGGGGCATTATAGAGGAGAAACAGTTCATGTGGGCAGAAGAAAGCAGGTAGTGAAGTAGTGAAGCAGCAAGTGATGCCAGCAGTTCTCTCTCTGACCCTTATGTTCTATCTAAGCTGCATGCCCTTAGGATGGGGAGCACTCATACTCAGGGTGGGACTTCCCATAATCCTCACCTAGAACTATGCCAGAACAATTAGTGGACTAACTTAGTAATCACACATGATTTGTTTTTTTTTTTTTTTTTTTTTTTTTGTCCTGGGGATCAAACTCAGGTCCCTGGGCTTGCTAGGTAGGCACTTGCATGCCACTGAGCTATCTCTCCAGCTCAGTCACACATTGTTAACCCCGAGTCACACACTTCATCCCAGCATCACACATTCTAGATCCACCTACCTCTGGAAAGCCCCACCTGTGACTACATGAAGCTTTGTAGGAACATCTAACTAGACACAAGCCCTAACAGTCACGAAGATAAATAATTTGGCAAACTGCTCTGTGGTATGTGTGCAGTTTAAGCAGTGAGAGCACTGATTGGAAATACTAGTTGGAAGGGGAGCAGTTTTGCCATAATATAACTGGATTTTGTTCTGCCCCCACCCCATTTCCCTACCCTCCCTTCAATCCTTTTTCCCCTAAAGGAGTATTTTTGGTAAGAGCTTCATATGCAAGTTGATTATTAAAATAGTCCCATTTTTATGGCCTTGTAGATTCCTGTGCTGTGCCATTCTTTACTGTGAAATGAAGAGATTACATTGGAAACATCTAAGGACCCTTAAAGCTTAAAATTAAAGTTATTAACAGGGTCTTTTTACAAAAAGTTCCTTCTATTTAACTCACATTTGCCCCAATGTAGAAAGTACTCAGTGTAGAAGGAAGGAGTAAAATTGTCCTAAATGCTTCACCTTTCTATGTAAGAGTGGTGTTACATGGTAAACTTTTAGTAGAATATGTGTTTTGAATGTTTGTGGTATAATGGAAGTTTGCTTTGAACTGGCCTGATACTCAGTTTTTCCTAAACATTTCTCAGATAGGTTTAGAGAAGTATACCCTATGTGGTAGCAGTTAGCCATGTGTAGAGAATTCAGTGTAGACTCTAAAGAGAAATTGAATTTACTTATTTGTTTATTATCTTTAAAGAGAATGCACAATGGCTAAAAAAACTACATTAGAATGATACATAATTTTATGAAACAAAATAGGAATTCAGCAATGGTTGTTGTATTACATAATGTTATCTTCAAATCAGTTTAGATTACTAGATATAAACATACAAAATTGGTTAAAAAAAAAAGCTATAAGAAATTTTAAAAATGAAAAAAATGTAAGTATTAACTGCTCTTTTCAGTAGACCAGCAGAAATCAATACAATTATCCAAGTCATCTTGCATATATACATATATTTTCCCCCTTTTTCTTTTGTCCTTTTCCTTATCCCAGTTGTTCCTTCCCATTTGAATAGATTGTTTTCCCTTTCACTATGTATATTTTACTTTTCAGATTTTATTTACTCTTTCACGTTCTTAGAGTAGGGAGACAGTGTGATGTTTTGCGCATGCAGATCTGATTTATTTCATTTACCAGTATGGTATCTAGTGAAATTCAATTTAAAATTTCATGTTTCAGTTTCACTGCTAGCGTTTCAAGTACTCAGTAGCTCCATGCAGCTCATGGGCTATCATATTGAAGAGCACAGATTAGAACATTTTCATTCTTACAGAAAATGCTATTGGACAGTGTTTATTGAAGGTATAGTTTATGACTATGAGATAAACTGTATTATGTGTTCAAATTAACTGCCCTCTATGGGATTTACATTTTACTTTGTAATCTTTGCATTACTCTGTAATTCACTCTAATCTTTTTAGGTCACATTTCAAATGGGACTGAAAAGAAAAGCTGTTGAAATAGAGAGGTGTATCAGAACTTAATAAGATGTTTTAGAATTTTAAAATCGTAGACATACTAAAAAATAAATATGAGTTCATCTGTCTGCTGTATCTTTGATGGATTGTGCTCTTAGATGGATTGTTTGTTTTAGAAGTGCTCTTGTGTGGTTGGTATGATGGAAACACAGGGTAGTATAAATGGAAGTTCGGTCATTAAGCCTTGAATGTAACCCCAAGGATATGGGGAATATAGAATGTACTCACCTCTATAGTACAGTGCTTTAAAAACTATCTAGTTTGGAATTAGTCACCAGTTTCACTGTATGTTGGGCTAAAACATATACCCTCAAACTTTTATGGCATCACTGAATAAAGAAAGGGAAGAAATAAATTCGGTTAGAACACTTTATAGCATCATTAGATAATAATGGTGGTTGTAAACAGACTTCAGGACAAATTTGACCCACAGCAAATTTGATCCACAGTGTATACATCAGATGTTAACCATGAATTAAAAAAATATATACTCAAAGACCATAACAAAAATGAGGCATCAAACTGGTGTTTTGGTTGAGTTATTGTTTCTATTTTGAGCTGGCTAGAGCCCTATCTAGCCCCAACTATTTGTTTCACCTGTGTAATGATCATGCTGGCTTACCATGAAATGTAACATTGATTCATTTTGGAAGAGATAGCACTGACATTGTTAACAGTGAATTCAGACATTATGTGTAGATTTTTAGTGAACTTAAATTACTTTAACACTTTGGACTTCGCAATTCTGAGGGATCAGGTTTTCCTTATGGTTGCAGATGATTATGTTCTAGGGACTAACCAACCATGTGATTTCACATGACTCAGATTTTAATGCTTTGTTGCTGATAGTTGAATGTGCAAAAGGTTAGAGTTGTATGTAGTCAGCTGCTAGGATACAGTCAGTCAATTTTACAAACTGAAGGTGAGACTCTTGATAACTTTACCAATTCTAAAATATTTGTATATTTCTAAGAATAAGTAGTTCTTTATACTAACAAGATATTGTCAGGGTCTGTTTTATTTTTTCTGATTGGAGTGGTGAAAGAGAAAAACATGTAGTGAGCACAGCACTATTGTCATCTTCATCACGTTGAAAGAGGGTCTTGTTGTGTAGTGCAGGCTGGTCTTGAGATCACTCTACAGTCTTGGTTTTCCTTGAACTTGATAACTCTTCCAACCACAGCCTCCCAACTGCCAAGAATTATAATGCAAGTATTATTAAAAGCCATATACAATCTCTTTAAAATGTATCTGTCATATACATTTCTTCCTGCCTTGCATAAACTAACATTCCCTATGAAGAAGACATTATCATTAAAACTGAGCCCAAATCTATTAATTATACATATTTTTTGAAATTGTATTCATTTTCATCTTAATGTTTTGAGCTTTTTTAATCAAATATACATAGCAACCTAGAAATTGTCAGACATTTGTACACCTGATAAAATAAAAACAGTGCCAAGATTATTTCTGTTTTCTTTCCAAGAAAAGTATGCTGTGTCCCTAAATTCAGCTTTTGAGGCTAAATTGTCCAAAGCTGCTAAGATGTTGCTGTGCTATTAACTGTTTTTTGCTCCACTGTTCCAATAAACACCTCTCTCTTCAATGATTGACTTACATTGCGTTTTCCTTTCCCAGGAAGATTCAGAAAGGGCCAGGTATTCTCATCAGTCCAGTCGTCCTCATCCTTATCTGGTGTGTAACAACCTCTAAACTTGCCTCTGATATTTTTATTCATTAACTTAATTTAGTCACTCACAAACTTTTACTTTTTTTATTTTTATAAGGAAATTGAGAATACATTGTCCCTACGAAGTCTTGGAAGTCACAGGGTTTGTATTTTAAGTTTTTTTGCATACCACAATAGCAAAGGTTATGAGTGACAGCTTTCTTAAGCACCAGCAATTCTTAACAGTCTGACATTGTTCATTTATGCCATTGCCTTTAGAATAAAAAATATTGGGCCACGGAGATAGCTCAGTAGAATAAGCACTTGCTTGGGAAGCACAAGGTCCTGAGTTCAATCCCCGGTACTGCAAAAAAAAAAAAAAAAAAAAAAAAGTAGAACAAAAAATATTGGCAAAAATTTTCCAGCAGAAGATGATGCTTTCTTTCAAATTGTTGCTTTGGGTAAATAATTTCTAAAATCATTTACATGCCTAATTTTTGCTATAGAAGGACCTTTGACTTCATAGAAGTATTGCAAGATAAGATTAATTTTATAGAATAACATCTGCTTGCTTCTAACTTTTAGGTTTCTCATATTTTAAAAAGAATTTTTAAATGGAAAATAGCTTTAGACTTTGCCTAATTATAATTTTATTACATGGAAAGATCAAGATATTGATTTGAAAAAAATATGTGCTTGTCACATACATAGAAATTATCATGTTTTAACATTGTATTGAATGTCCTAGAGCTTTAGCATAGATTGTTGTAAATCAAGATAAATGAAAATTTCCTTAAAGCCTTACATGTTATGCTGAAACACTGATCTTGCTTATTTTTCTTAAAGAATTGTGCTTTATGGGGCTGGAGAGATGGCTCAGTGGTCTAAAGCACCTACTTGAAACAAGCTTGGCAAAGCACAGGGACCACGGTTTGATCCCCAGCACCACATGCCAGCCAGTTGCGCCCCCTGGTGGGCTGAGCTGGCCACACACACACAATAAATAAATGTAATAAATAAATAATTAAAAAAAAAAAAGAATTGTGCTTTAATTCCAAAACAATGCTTTTAATTTGCACATTGATAATGGTTGATATCTATGTATATTTTTCATCAGTAAAATAATCTTCTATGTTAAGGTCTGTATTTGTTACTTTTCCCCAACTCTGATTTTTCTTCTTACTTGCACGGTGTATAAAATATACTATAATAACCTCAGTTTGGATGCCCATCAGTTGAGCAATGGATAAAGAAGATGTGACATTTTTACACAGTGGAATATTATTCTACTATAAAACAGGATAAATTTGAGACTTTCACTGGTAAATGGATGCAACTAGAGAACATACTCTTAAGTGAAATAAATGAGACCCGCACGTGCAAACATCATTTTGTCTCCTTAGTGTGAGAACCTGAAAGAGAAAATGGAATATTAAGGGTACGGTAGATACTGGAAAAAGAAATGAACTTATTCAAAAAGAAAGTTACTGTGCTGAGGACAGGAAAAGGAGTTGAAAAAAGAGATGTATCTCTGTATGTAAGCAGGATGATTTGGACAACTGTACTGTGGATTTCTGCTGGTCTCTGGAAAGGAGCAATTAATGCTTAATTTGTTTTTGTCTCCTTAAAATTCTTTTTCCTTTTTCTCTTCTTAATTTCTTATATATTTTTCTTTTTCCAATTTTGCATGCACTTGTCTGGTATATGAATAACTGGTTGGAAGTCAACCATGCATTACAACAAATGCTGTGAAATTCATATTACTTTTTTTGTGAAATTCTGTATCATTTGTAATTTTTTCTCTTTTAATACTATTTTGTAGTCTTTAAAAAAAATAACCTGTTTGTTCTGGCATATGAGTTACTGATATTTTTGCGTTCATAAATAATCCATCACACTGTTCTGGTTTCTTTTGGCAATTGTAATCTGTGTCTTTTAAAACTAAGTTTGTAAACTTTTTTTAAAAAATCATAAATATTTTGGTTGTTTACAAAATTAGAGTTTTAAGAGTATTTCCTTTATGAAAATCTTAGATAATTAGTGGATTATATAGTATGTGATTTTTCAGGAGAAAAATTTTTATAACCCATTGAGAAAAGAATAGATCTTGATTCATTTGGCTTTATCTTGGCTATAAAGAAATGGAAAAATGAAGAAAATGTCTTCTTTGTTTGACATAGTTCATACTCTTAGGTATTATAAATCACTTCTTTTTTTTTTTTTTACTTTTGGAATGTTTTTGTATTGAATTTAATACAACTTTATTTTATTATTATTATTTTTTGTATTTTAGGGAAGGGTCTACAGGGTGTTCATGCTGTCAGTACTAGATCAGGGTCATAGTGATCTGCCTGTTTACAGCCACCCAAGGGCTGGAATTACAGGCACACGCCACCATGCCCAGTCTCAATTGCCCTCTCAGTACGCCCTGGAGGTGGGGGTGGCACGGCAGGCCTGGGGATTGAACCCTCAGCCCTTGCAACTGTTTGCAGGCGCTTTAATCCACTGAGCAATTTGGCCGGTCCAATACAACTTTAACATAGCAAAAATTATGTTTTTCCTGGAGACAATTTGAGTTTTCTCTTTAAATACTTTTTTTTTTTTTTTTTTGGTCCAACCCAGGATCTGGTGCCTATAGGGCAGGAGCTTATGTTACTGAGCTATCTCCTTAACCCTATTTAGATCCTATTTCAATCCTTTGAAAAGAATCATATAGGGAGTAAACGAAGACTTCAGAATTAAGTCTCAGTGGTTGTGAAGGTGATCCCCTTTTATGTTTTTTTATTTTTTAAAGAGAGTACAAAATAGTATTAGAGCAGAAAAATTGAAAATGACAGAATTTCACTAAACAGAATATGAATTTCACAGTATTTGTTGTAATGCATACTGTTGCCTTCAAATTAGTTGTTCATATTACCAGATATATGCATGCAAAATTGGAAGAAGAAAGAAAAAATATAAGAAATTAAGAGAAAAAGGAAAAATAGTTTTAAAAAGGAGACAAAACAATTTAAGTATTAACTGCTGCTTTTGATAGACCAGCAGAAATCCACAATACAGTTGTCCAAATCATTCTGCTTACATACGTGGATATATCTCTTTCCCCCAGTCCCTCTCCTGCCTCATCAACTCAGTAATTCCCTCTCACCTTTTTTTTTAACTTACATTTTTCTTTGCTTTCCATTATAATGTTCATAGTGTAAGTTATCATACTTTTTTATTCAGCTGGTTACTTGTAAATATGTATAGGAAACTTTATTATGTTAGTTTAAATCTACTAAGGTTGTCTAAATGTAGGAGCCATTAAAGCAAATCTGTAAATAAATGACAAAGAAATCTGTCATTGAGCTGAAAACTATCCAGTGTGTCTATAAAAGTTAATATTTTAGATGAAATCTATATCACAAATGAAATCTGTATCATAAATATCATATAATTTATAAGTATTTTTTCATTATTATGAAAATTTCTTAATGTAGAATAGAGGAAAATAAATATTTTAAAAATTTGCTGTGTGCACTTGAAAATTTGATAAGTTTTGCATTTTATAAGAGAATATAGGCTTTTACTATCTGTAAGTATAATTGTAAACTGCTTTATTTTGTGGGGGAACGTAATAGAAATTGAATTTAGGACCTCAGGGCCTCATGCTTGGCAGGCAGGTACTGTGCTGCTGAGCTATATCCTTGGCTCTTCATAATCTGCTTTAGATGTGTAGACTTTCCTAGAAATAAGCCTAAAAGGTCACTAGTAATATTGTTTAAAAGAAATACAATGGCAATGTTTTTTTTCCTGTTTTGTTTTAACTAGATATTAAGTATTCTAAATTTTCATCAGCTTATTTGCCTTGACCTGTTTGTGTGCTCTGGAGACTGAACACAGGACCTTGCTCATGCTCAGGATATGCCATGCTACTTTGCTATGCCCTCCAGGTCTTGGTTACTTGCTTTTAAAAATAACTTTACCATTTTAATTAAGTTAAATATGTTAGACAACATTTATCATCTATAAAATTAAACACAATGATCTAAAACTCTGATCTAAATATTGTTGTGATTTGACATCTAATTTTGAGGTTTTTGTGGTTCTCTGCCAGTTATTTTAGAAAACTTAAGAGCTGTATATCAAAAGATACTGTATTTTTTAGCCTAATGTTTGATGTATGAACATTAGCAGGACCTGGATATGAGTCAGATGTGTTTATGGTTTTATGATTTACATTTTGAATTTTGATTTTGTCCAGAAGTTACCTTTCAGGCATTACTGTTTCTGTTTTTTGTATTTTGGGGGGAAGGGTCTACAGGGTGTTCAGGGTCTCACTACTAGATTGGACTCGTAGTGATCCCCCTGTTTACAGCCTCCCAAGAGCTGGGATTGCAGGTGCACACCACCATGCCCAGTCTTAATTGCTGCCTCAACATGCCCCGGGGCAGGGCTGGCACAGCTGGCGGCAGGCCCCACGATCAAACCCCTGGCCCCGGCACCTGTTTGCAGGTGCTTTAATTCACTAAGCTATTTGGCCGGTCCTGGCATTACCATTTTGGAAGCTTGCCACAAGTTATTTAGATTGGAAATGTTACAGGCAGTCAGTATAAAAACAAAAATAACAAGAGTAGTTTAGAATTGTGAACTTAGGATTGTAGCAATCTAAGTATACAATGATTATTATTGTGAATAGCTATATGTTCAGTAATTCAGATATTAATCCTGTGAAATAGCAATATCTACATTAAAAAAAATCTTACCAATGTCACTGGTTTGTTGCAAGAAAGATGAAAACCCAAAATTAGGTAACTTTTAATCACAGGAATAGAGGTAACTGTTATTTCTTGTTGGTAGAGATTCTTACTATTGTAGAGTTTTAGTTTCTGTTTATGTGTCATCGGCCTTGATACAATTTTAATGAATTCAGTTTAAAAATAATGTTTATAGATTGTGTTTAGTAATTAGCACTATACTGTTTAATTTAATTGAAGAACCCATCGAACACTTTGGAGCAGAACCAGTATACTCTGAAGGGGTACAATGTCGAAAAATGTATGATAGTAAGAGTGTTAGCTGATGGTGGGGAGATAGCTCAGTGGAATAATTGCCTATCTGGCAAGCACAAGGTTCTGAGTTCCATCACTAAAAAAAAAAAAAAAAAAAAAAAAAAAAGAAAGAAAAAGAAAAAGAAAAAAAAAAAAAAAAGTTAACTATTGTT